CAAATCATATGCAGATTTACTTCTATATGCAAATGATATGTAGATGTAATCGTATATATGCTAATCATATGTAGATTTATTCCTATATGCAAATGATATGTAGATTTACTTGTATATATGTAAATCATACGTAGATTTACTTCTATATGCAAATGATATGTAGATGTAATCGTATATATGCTAATCATATGTAGATTTACTCTTATATGCAAATGATATGTAGATTTACTCGTATATATGTAAATCATACGTAGATTTACTCCTATATGCAAATGATATATAGATTTAATCACATATATGCTAATCATATGTAGATTTACTCCTATATGCAAATGATATGTAGATTTACTCCTATATATGCAAATCATATGTAGATTCACTCAAATATATATACAATACTTTACAAATGTTTGCATTACACCATTGTTTTTATTTGAATATTGCTACTGTGAGTCACAGAAGAGATGAATGTCAGCATCAGAGAAAGTCATTGGTCATTTTTATATTACATTGCTATTTTGATTCATTTTAAATAACATAAGAATCTGAATGATCATTGAGTAAACACCCAGTCATAGACCTAGCAAGAACACTCACAATAACAATAAAGACACCTTGAAATATCACACTGACAGTGTCATGACAGATATGTAAATGAGGTAATTAAATATTCACACATGCCATTATTAGTCTGATTAGCGGTTTCAGGGGTCAACCATTGTTCAGAGTAGATAAACTCCGATTGTTGTTATATCTTATTGAGAGTAACTGAGGTAGTCCTCATTTAGGACCAAGTTTAACTGTAGAAAGATAGCGATGTATGGAAAAACTGCTGAAAATGGATTTCTATCTCTGATGGCTATAACATTTTATATGCAGAAAATAAATTGATCATAACTACATGTAATCAATACATCAGCCGCACAAATTACAAAAATAGTATCGATAATAAAATGTATCAGAAACCACAAGTTTAACATTTTCGTTCAATTAATATATTTTGTATAATGTAGCAGTACGCAGTAATCTGATTAAAATACTATGTACATTACTTAACTACAAAGATATCTTTTAGGCTGATTTAATTCCATTCTATTGTCGCACAAAACCATAGGAGCTCCTGATTAAAATGCTTTCATCACAGCAATTACATTATTTTGTATTACCTGCAGCAAATAATGATCGTCTTTTGATAGAAAAACTACCATAAAAAGACCTTGGGGCAAATAAGACAGGAATTCCGTCCATAAGATTATGCAACTTTATTGAAAGTATCAAGCTCGCTTTAGGGAACTGTAATTCGAGTACAGTTTGTTGACTCTACCCAGGCAATATTGACGATGGAAACAAGACCTACATGTGAGCTGTATTATTAAAAAGTCATTTGATTGGCAGCTTTTTGTAGACTGCAATACTGTATATAGTCTATTGGAAGTAAGCATGGTGTGATATCATTCTGGCCACTGATGAGTTCATTGATGAGAAGAAAACTATTCTACCAAAAACAGAAAGTAGTAAATTTAATTTAGTTTAATTTAATGCAGTGCCAGATTCCCTTCCATCTTTCCTGAGTTTTAGTAGGGGTTGAGCTCCATCCATCTTTTTCATTAATTCAGGGAGAATTGACACACTTTTGCATTTCAAATCATTGCAGTTAGAATAAGTATGGTCAATATTAAATCAATTCAATGTACATTTATACTTCTATGGTATGATGTATGGGATGTTTTAGTGATTTTTCCAGACTGTCTGAACTACAGTCAAATTTTAACTAATTTTTCCCCATGTTGATAACATACATTCTTTTACTTGTATGGTTTACAGGGTTCACACCACTAATTAGATATCCATAGATGACAATGTTAGCGTTTGGGTGAATTTCTCCAAAAAACCACATTACAAAGATCAAAATTTTGTTTTAATTTGTTGAAACCAAAAGTATTATAATTCTGGCTAGAAAAAAACAACAGAAAATCAGGCAGTTTTCAAGTGTCTAATAGACAGTTGCCCAGATCCACAGGTCACCGGTACTCGTTAATAAATAAAGCTTCACACATGAGTCTAACAGCTGACGTAGTTGAAGTCTGCCCTCACAAATTGCAGTTTCAGATAAAACATTGTAAAAAAAAAAACATTGGCTAACAACAACTATATGATTTGATGCTATGAACGTTGATAAGCTTATTGGGAGTATCAGACTTTACAATGACAATTCGTTTGAGTAGCTGGAGATGCAAGCTAAGTATACAAAAGTTTACATGAACAAACACAAGTTTTATGTACACAACCAAAATACATTGGTATAGTGAATTCTGATAACATGACAAAACCTGAAAGACTTTACTGTATTTAAATAATTAGTTCATCTATTCTAAAAATGCTAAATGTAAATTAAATTGAGTTTGATGTAGTCAGGTACAGTATTTTCTCTATTAGAAGTGTCAGTGCTAGATGGAAATTAATTGAGTAAATCGAACAATTTTTATCTGCTCATCTTAAAACATTATAATAAGTTCAAGTTCAAATTTTGGTGTTACTAGGAAGTACAATTTTCACAATATGGATTAAAATTTGGTTAAAATAAAACATTTGTTAGACATAAGAATAAGTACACAGAGTGAAGACATTTATACTACTTGTCATGATAACCAGATGTTAGTAATATGCTTCATCAGATCTGTTAATATAATAATACAGTAACACAATTTTCCTGATGTAGTATAAATCTTTATTCCCACCAAAAAAATTGACAAGTTCTTTTCCGACAAAAAATTTGCCAATATTTTTTGTGTACTAAAATGATGAAAGTAAATCAATTTTACATATATTTCATGCATAGTCATGACTGAATAACACGTAATGCTGGTAGAACCTCAAAAAGTAAGTTATTTGTGTGTGTATGTGTACTGCCTGGATGATAATTTGTTGGCAATGTTTCTTCTCTATCCCTCAATGGTGTCTGTTATAAATTAGTGATGTACCTCAGGTCCAAGCAAATTTGTTCCCATATCTCTTGGCTTATCATAATCTGTCATTGTGTCACCACTGTTCACTCAATCACATTAAACCACTGCCCAGCCTATCACATTCCACCACTGCCCAGCCTATCACATTCCACCACTGCCCAGCCTATCACATTCCACCACTGTTCACCCAATCACATTAAACCACTGCCCAGCCTATCACATTCCACCACTGCCCAGCCTATCACATTCCACCACTGCCCGGCCTATCACATTCCACCACTGCCCAGCCTATCACATTCCACCACTGTTCACCCAATCACATTAAACCACTGCCCGGCCTATCACATTCCACCACTGCCCAGCCTATCACATTCCACCACTGCCCAGCCTATCACATTCCACCACTGCCTAGCCTATCACATTCCACCACTGCCCAGCCTATCACATTCCACCACTGCCCAGCCTATCACATTCCACCACTGCCCAGCCTATCACATTACACCACTGTTCACCCAATCACATTCCACCACTGCCCAGCCTATCACATTCCACCACTGCCCAGCCTATCACATTCCACCACTGCCCGGCCTATCACATTCCACCACTGCCCAGCCTATCACATTCCACCACTGTTCACCCAATCACATTAAACCACTGCCCGGCCTATCACATTCCACCACTTCCCAGCCAATCACATTCCACCACTGCCCAGCCTATCACATTCCACCACTGCCCAGCCTATCACATTCCACTACTGCCCAGCCTATCACATTCCACCACTGCCCAGCCTATCACATTCCACCACTGTTCACCCAATCACATTAAACCACTGCCCGGCCTATCACATTCCACCATTTCTCAGCCAATCACATTCCACCACTGCCCAGCCTATCACATTCCACTACTGCCCAGCCTATCACATTCCACCACTGCCCGGCCTATCACATTAAACCACTGCCCGGCCTATCACATTAAACCACTGCCCGGCCTATCACATTCCACCACTTCCCAGCCAATCACATTCCACCACTGCCCAGCCTATCACATTCCACCACTGCCCAGCCTATCACATTCCACCACTGCCCAGCCTATCACATTCCACTACCGGTACTGCCCAGCCTATCACATTCCACCACTGCCCGGCCTATCACATTAAACCACTGCCCGGCCTATCACATTAAACCACTGCCCGGCCTATCACATTCCACCACTTCCCAGCCAATCACATTCCACCACTGCCCAGCCTATCACATTCTACCACTGCCCAGCCTATCACATTCCACCACTGCCCAGCCTATCACATTCCACCACTGCCCGGCCTATCACATTCCATCACTGCCCAGCCTATCACATTCCACCACTGCCCAGCCTATCACATTCCACTACTGCCCAGCCTATCACATTCCACCACTGCCCAGCCTATCACATTCCACCACTGCCCAGCCTATCACATTCCACCACTGCCCAGCCTATCACATTTCACCACTGCCCAGCCTATCACATTTCACCACTGCCCGGCCTATCACATTCTACCATTTCTCAGCCATTACAACTCTGACGAATTCTCCTAGTGTGGGAGATTCTTTGGATAATGCCCTGCTCACCATCAAGATACAAAGTGCACATTCATGTCAACTTTAGAGAATGTGACTACCATATATTTATAGACAGAGCGTCTCTGATTTGGTTTGAACTCAAAACCCAATATCATGTCATTTGGCAAGGAATTCGAATAAGTGGTCAGTTTTTGAACCATATCACATTCAAAATGTAGTCATAAATATTCATATAACACGCTAGCTAAAAAGACATGTTTTACAGTACAGTACTAGTATACATTTACACCAGTAGTCAGTTGATTAGCCAGTACAAACTCCAGGTGTGATTGATGTGACACAAGTCAGATAATACATTCATTCACATATCTAACCAACATAAGGGTTGCTGTATTATCCATTTCATCATATATTTCACTTCTTATTTCCCCCCTACAGTATTGTACTATAGTTGCCCTGAAAGATGAATTAGTCTTACCTGCTCACACCCTCTGGGAATCAAAGACACAGCATGCAATATGGTAGTGATTCGAATTCCCACCAGTAGGAGAAATGGTGGTGATATTAAGTTGTATAGAAAGAGGAAAGCCTGTGACACGTTGTTCACATGCACTGAAAATTATAAAAAAACAGTTGAATATTACTTATCAAAATCTCAAATAAAATTTTAAACAAGTCTGATTTTCCACAGAGAAAAATAAGTAGGTGTGCCCTCTAGTGGTATAGCAGAGAAAGTATTGAGGAAGCAAACAAAAATG